CGGCGCCCCCCGGCCCCACACGCAGTGTCAAGCAGACGGAGAGCGAGAGAGAGGGAGCGCGCGGGGTGGAAAGAGACGGGCTGAGCGCGGCGGCGCCCAGGGGGTGGGAACGGCGCGGCGAGGGGTGAGAGATGGAGAGAGACGGAGCGACGGAAAAGGGAGGGGGGAGGGGGGCGTCGGGCGAGCAGCCAACCAGACGGGCCAGCCCAGCAGGCAGGCAGCGGGCGGGCCGCCGACTAGGCGAAGCGGCCAGGCAGAGCAGGCGGCCAGGCCAGTCGGCACCCGAGTGCAGAGGCGGCAGGCAGACAGGCGGACGCAACATCGGCCGGGCAGCACGAGAGTCGTGGACGCACGCCCACCGTCAAGCGCAAAGGACTCGAGACTTGCGTCCAAGTCGGCCAGACTCGAGTGCCACCCGCCCCAACCCTTTCGCAGCCAAGCGCTGCCGCACCGCTCGCCGCCGGCGCGCGGGCCGTCCGTCCGTCGGGGAAACAGACGGGGGACTTGTGTGCGCCGCCGCGCCCGAGAAGGAGACAGGACGACGACGACAACGACGACGACGACGTCGTCCCCGCTCCAGGGCGCTCCGTGGATAAGGAACAGGTGAGGCTGGAGGAGGAAGCTGTGCGAAACCGAGTGGCGTGAAATGAAGTGAAGTGGACGGGGGCGGCGGAGTATAAATAGCTGCGGTAGGCGCCGGGGCTCGACCGGCGCTCTGAGCCGGTCCCTGAGTCACACGCAGCCGCAGCCACGCCCAGATGCCGCGCCGCGGCTTTGCGCCTCGCCGCCGGCCCGGCCCGCTGCCGCCGGCCCCGCGGGACAACTTGCTGACCGCGCCCCAGGTCCGCGGGCCCCGCGATAAAGCCCCCGGGCCGCGATAGCTTGGCGGGAACGGTCGGGCGCCCCGCGACCTGGTGAGGTTATGTCGCCCTGGGTTGGCTGCTGCTGCTGCTGTTGCGGCGGCGGCGGCGGTGGCGGCGGCGGCGGCGGCGGCAGGCGGGACGGAGGAACGGACGGAACGGAGCGGAGCGGACAGGACCTCGCTCGCGCTCGGGAGGTTATGTTCGCCCTGGGCACTCGTCCTTTGCAGGTGGCCCTTTAATGTTCTCCTCCAGGGACGTGTTGCGCGGTGTGGACAGTGCGCCCCGTCTGCTCCGCCCCGCCCCAGGGCCGTGGCGGCGCGTGTCGGCTGTCAGTTGTGTCTCGGCGCGAGGTGTCAACCAAGGCTGTCAACAGGACGTTGTATTGCCTCACGGCGCCGAGGAGCAGGTCCCGCTGCTGCTGCTGCAGTCCCCCGCGCACCGCCCACCGTCTCGCGCCCCGGAAAATGTAAATATCTTCAAGGCCCCACATGAGGGTCATCAGCTGAGGGGGGGGGGGGCTGTGTTGTTGCCCCCCCCCCTCACGTCTCACCCCTTGGGGTGCCATGCCGTGGGCTGGAACGGACGGTTGGCTGGTTACGTCAGGCCAGGTGGGGCGAGCCGGCGGGCGTGGATGCCCTCGAGGGGCGCTCCCCGTCCAACTTCCCCCCCCGGAGCCTCCAAAATAACAAAAATAATGGTATTAAAAATAATAAAACTCACCCGTCATGCTTTGGGCGCTGCGTCACGCCCCGGCCGCAGCGTGTTTTCATTTCGGGTAGCGAAATTCGATTACTGCCTCAGGGGTGGCTCCTCTCCTCGGCCCCTCTTCGCTAAGCACTCCAGCTGGACGCGGGCCGGTGGTGGCGGAGTGCAGCAGCAGGCGCGCCCCTCGCGGCCACACCTTTCGACCACGCTCCGCCACGCGCCCGTGCCGACCGAATAGGCCCTGGGTTTGTTTTCGCTCTCTATGACCTGGTTAGCATTGGGCTGCTTGTGCGGTGCGCGGCCGCGCCGCCGCCCGCCCCGCGCCTGACCATCGCGTCGCGTCTGCCCGCCGCCGCCGCCACGCCCCCGCTCGCGGCTCGCGCGCCGCCCCCCTCGGGGCGCTCGACGCGGCGCGGCCTGTCGTCGCTTCCGATCGCACCTTGGGACTCTTTGCTTTTCCTTTTGACACGGAGCCCATTCATTCTTTCACTCACGCGCCCGCCCCGCCAGGCCGCCAGGCCCGCCCGCTTCATTCATTCACGCACCGCCCATTCATTTACGCCCCTCTCTCCGCGCCCCCTCTCTCGACGACGCACCGTCACATTACCCGTCACGACGCACCGTCGCGTCACTTCACCCGTCACGACGCACCAATCACCTCACCGGACGGACAGAACCCCTCCCGGACCTTTACCCATCCCTTTTTCGCCCCATTCTCGAGTCGAGAGGGCGATCGGATTTTGCAAACTTGTTCCGTTTCCGATCTGGGCCAACGTTGCGGCACTTAAACATCCCATTTTTTGTTTCGCTATCAAAAGATATTTGCCATTACAGCAGAGATAAGGAACCGGACAAGCAGCTGCAATGCCGTTTTGTTGTTCCGGTCGCTGTTTGCAGCCGTGTCCGGTGTCCGCCCGGCGCCGCGGTTCTGGCTGCAGCACCGCGTCGCACCCTCCGGCCCTTTCCCTTCTGCAGCTGTCTCCTTCCCACGCGTTACACCCCTCTCTTATTTTTTTCGACGCCCCTCGTGCTCCTCACCGACCGCACAGCCGACGATAATGATGCCACATATGGCCGCGCGGGTGGGTCGCGCTGTCCTCCGCCCGCCTGGCGAGGCGCTGCGATGTGGTGTGATGAGGACGATGAGCGGCACACTCTCGCACTGCGATGTGGAGAAAGCGCCGAGGAGAAGTAGTGGGCCCACCTAACCTCGCGCCACATCCTATCTCACCCCAACTCGCCCATTTCATCCCCACCTAGCCCATTTCATCCCCACCTCACACCATTATTCGCCCCCTCTCGCTCGCCCTACTCCACCCCTATCTCACCACCACCTTATTTCACCACCACCTCACTCCACTTCACCCTCCTTACTTACCCCCACCCACCCCCATCTCACCCTCAATCCCCATCATTTCACCCCCCGCGCACGTCCCCAATTTCACCCCCCAACCCTCCTCACGTCAATCCACTTCCCGTCCCGTATGCAACGGCGGCCAAAACAGCCCGACATGCCTGCCCATCACTAATAGCAGCAATCCACCAACCACACCTCCCTCCACCCCGCGCTCCCGCCGAACCCTTCCCCCTGTAGCAAGTGCATAGAAAACACTTTGCAAAATTCAGCGAGTTGAGTTGAGTGCGCTGCCGGTGCCGGTGCTTCCCCCCAGGGTGGTGCCCCCTCCCCCTTCCCCCCTGCGGTGGGCGTAGCCCCGGTGTGCGCGCGCCGCATACCAACGACACGATATCGCCCGCTCGCCGTGGCGTGGCCTCAGGATTTGGGACGACCGAAAGTATTATAGCAGAAGTGTTCGTGGGACGAATTTCTCCCACGAGCGAGCGCGCGCGAGTTTCGTTGCTCGATTTTTCTTTTCTTTTGGAAGACAACATACGTATTGGGGTGGCAGACAGGCAGGCCTTCGGCGAAGTGCCGAAGGAGAGAGAGGGAGAGAACTCCTTGGCATGGGGTCACTGCACTCTACCAGCGCTGCCGGGTGTTGCTTGTGCAGTTATTTCGCAACTTATAGGAGGGAGAGGGGAGGGGTGGTCTTGTGGTCTTCCAGACGCACACATTCCCTGTGCAGGCCGCCGTGTCTGGAACAACTCTGGAACGGTCTGGAGACGCCCTGCCCTGCGCCGTTAAGTTGGGCCCGATGCGGCGGCAGCGGTGCCGCTGCCAAAACGATCACCTGCGATTGCCGCAAGGAATAGAGGTCGGGGGGCGCGGGGACCGGATCTGCCGTAACCGGGGCTCCCCGTGATGTCATTTCGGGCGCCCCGCGCGCCGTTTGTGGCGCGTTTGCGGTCCGCGCGGGCTACGAAAAGGCGGCGCGCGGCGGGCTGGTTCTAATCTAGGATAGGGCACCTCGTGGCGCCTATCGCGGCGGCCAGGTGGCAGCTGTCGGACCTCCACGCGCCCCCGCCTCCTCTCCTGTCTGGACCGCGGTGGCGGCCAGCCCCGCGCGTCACCGCGCTCGCTGGAAAGAAGAATAGATTATAGTCTGACCAGACTAACATAAAGTCGCGATTGGGCGCCGTAGAAATCCCTGTGCTGCCTGTGCCTTTCCAGTCGCGACCTTGCAGGCTGGTCTGACTATAGACGCTGAAATGAGGCTGCTGCCGCTGCGACTCCTCGGGTCGGTGGCTCGGTGGCCCCTGACCGTGGCCAACCACGGCCGCGGGGTCGCTGCGGCGGGTGGGTCCCCGCCGGTCCCCTCCGGTTCAATGCACCTGCTGGGCTGGCGCGGCCGGCGCGGCACTCGGCCACCACCGCGCGGTGGTGTGCGCCCGGGGCGCTATCAGTCTGGCGATCGATGGTGTGCCGCGCCGCACCGCGAGACAACTTCGCTCCCCGCCGCCTATACGCCCACATTACGGCGTACTCTAAGGGAGTGGTGGGGGTACAAATATCATGGGCCCCCTGAGTAGGCTCAGGAACACCACCCCCGGCCGAGTTCATCGGGTACTCCATAGTTTTTCTACCCCGGGGTACAATTATCGTTAGGGTCCCGTATGATCTCTAATTTCGATCCTGTACCTCTAGGGGCAGCCATGATATTTGCATCCGGGGATGAAAATATCATGGTGTCCCGTATAATGTCCGCAGTTTCAATCCTGAACCTCTACAGAGGCCGCCATGACATTTTTACCCCCTCTAGTGGTTCTGTCCAAACCGCTCGCTCATGTGGGGGCCACCGCTTGCCGGGGGCAGATCTTATCCAGCGCGGACGGCGCCGTCGCGACGCCCGCCAGGCCAGCGGCACCCCCTCCGCCCTTCCGTGGGATCGGCCGCGAGGCCATCGCGACGCTGTGTCTGGAGACGCCGGCGAGTGACCGATGATAATTCCTTTCGAGTATGTTCCAGCCGCACGCGCACACACACACACGCGCGTGTGTATGTGTGTTTGTGTGTGCGAAACGTTCTCAGGTGCTAAAAACTTCCGGTTATTGTCGCACGGGTGCGGTTGTGCTTCGCGGACGTGTATATTGTCTTCGTTCAAGCTTGCGCACTTGAGGTGTTATTATCTGGGAGTGGCCGTGGAAGGTGTAAATGTCGTTTTGTTTCGCTTCACTCCAGAACAACTTTTTCGTAAAGCCGCGTTTCGTTTCCACCTTCATTTTTTCTTCAGCTCGCTGGCGCCGTTGTCATAGTGGAACATGGAACACTGACAGGTGCATGGGTGCGGTAACAGGCGCTTGTCTCGTTACCCCCCTCCCTTTCCCCCCTCTCATCCAGTTTTTCTCTCCCCCGCGCCTTTTTTCTTGTAGCTGAAAGTGCGTTTGCGATGAGAAGAGCAGCGGCCGGCCTTTTGTGTTGCGCTCTCTTCGTTCGTCGGCCGGAAGTGGCCGACCATTTTTGTTATTTTTACCCTATACATAGTCCTCGCGACACACCTTTCAGCAAAACGCGCCACGGAACCGCACACAACGCGACAGTTTCAAATGTTTTTTTTTTTTTTTTTTTTTTTTTTTTTTGTCGCCCCCAACTGCTTGATATTTCTTTTTGTGCGTGCGTGTGCTTCTTTTGTCCGTAAC